ACATTCGGTGGTTTACTCAGCAGTTCCATACCTACTTTAATTCCTAAAAAATATTTTTGTAAACATGTCATAATGATATTTAAGATTGTTAGGTTTATCTTTTCCAAAATATTACTATAACAATAACAACAATAGTAACATCATGGTTTTTCAGAAAATCTACCTCAGCATGTTCTTAAGATCTTAAATATTGGCATTTTTATGCAGAATAAATAAATAATTCTTTCTGCAAAAATTGTATTTTATTTTTCCTATATTCATTCAATGTCTTAGCATAGCTAACTAGTTAAATAGTTAGAGAACTAAATTAGATGGGTCTACTTGATTTTCTATCAAGTAGACCCTTGGTAGTACAGTGGTTTAATGCACCCTGTAATTAACACAGCTGCCTGCAATTTCTGCAGGTTCGAATCTTACCAGGCTCAAGGTTGACTCAGCCTTCCATCCTTTCTAAGGTAGGTTAAATGAGGACCCAGTTTGTGAGGGCAATAAGATGACTTTGTATAAATATACAAAAGTATGAAGGCTATTGCTTAATGCATTGTAAGCCGCCCTGAGTCTCCAGAGAAGGGCAGCATATAAATCAAATTAAAAAAAAAAAAAGTAAAAGTAGATAAGAGAGAGAAAAATGCTAAATTTACAAAGGAACAGATTGCAGTGGAATTAATCTCCTTTATCCTTTTTGCTCTTTCAAAATTTTTTAATCAAATATTGAATAGTTTTGTGCTAAATCTCAAAATGAATAATAAGCATTAATACAACAACCTTCACATCATATTTAATAGGTAATTATTTTCATCCTTCTCAAAACGATTATAAAATGTTTCATTATATTACTCTTTCATGATTTTAATAACAGGATAGAATTTCAAGTGAGAAAGACCTTCGAGATATTTTAGTTACTGTATATATCAATATGTGTATACCACCAATGTAATCCGTGTTATTGCTACTATCAGGTTCAACAGATTTATAATAAATCTCTTCTCTAAACCCATCTTCTGTGGACCAGAATATTCAATGAATAAGTCACAGAGTTACTTTACTTTATATTAGAATTGTTTCTATAGAATCTGAATGGGCTTAGTAGAAAGTTCATATAGGAACAGAGAAGACATTTTTTTTAGTAAAAATGTAATAAAAAAACATTCTAGGGACTACAAGAAAGTAAAATAGAAATAATATGTAATGCACTATTTCCCAAACTTTGATGACATATACTGTTTCAAAATTCTACACCTTATTTAACAGGTGTAGTGTAGTGTAGTGATTAAAGGCACTTTATTAGAACCTAGGAGACCGTAAGTTCTAGTTCTACCATAGGCATGAAGCCAGCTGGCTGACCCTGGTCATTCTCTCTCAGTTCTAGAAAGAGGGAAAGGGCAAAACACTTCCAAAAATTTTGGCAAGTAAACTTCATGGATTTGCACATAGTGGTCAGAAATCAAGATTAACTCAAAGGTATGTGTGTTCACACATACACACACACAATCTTATTTATTTGAAACGACACACTGTTATACTATATATGTATAGTCTTGCCTACTTCTGAACATAGCTTGGAGCACATATTTTGAAAAAATGGTTTATATGTTCTGCTTTGCCTCCCTAAATGGGTGCACCCACTTTACTAGGTGTTGGCTGCTCTTTGTAAGGTCTATATGAAGAGATAACCATGACAATCACCTTCAAGATGTTTGCCACAGTGTACTTCAAAAGATCTACCCAGAAAGTCTTACTCCATGGAACTTACGACTTGAATTCTTAACAAGGTCATTTCCTTAATTGCTCTTACCTAGATAGTTAGGTAGTCTGATAAAGACTCCTTGCTGGGCTCATGTCTATCTTAGAACTCTTTTTTTAGCCATTTCAAACAGTTCCACAGGCATTGTAAGCCTGGAAAGCTTCTAGTGGACAACAAAAATGGCTGATATGTTGTCTTTTGATGACAGCCTTTATCAAACTTTCTGAAACAGAAAGTTCTTGCACTTGTTAGATTTACCAGCTTGGGGACAGAGATATCCATGAGGAAGAAGAAGGAGCCAATGTTGAAATGAGCATTGCGCTTTCATGATGCAAAGTCTGCCCTTTTGGTACACATGTTGTTCCAGATTCTTCTGTTTCAACAGTAAACCTTTGAGGCATAGATCTATTTCAGTGCTTAAAGAAAGCAGAGGTACATGGCCATTTTCTAAAAAAAATTATCAGTTTGAAAAAATCAGTTTTAAAAGCACTTGAAAGAAAATATGTGAATATTTGGAATTTGCAAAGTACAAAGGGCTCACTATAGGTTTACTTATGGCAAAATGAAAATCATACCAACTTTGAATATCCCCTTTCCAAATTAAAGGTCATTTGCCCAAACATAACATAATTGTACATTATTTCACTTGGAAATTCCTAGTTTTATAACACCTACAATTAGAAAAGACAACTGAGTTAAAGTTTAGGAACACCTATGAGCTCTGCAAACCTTGCTATATCTCCCAAAGATTAGGCTCTTTAAAAGACTTTGTTAGGGAAAGCTGTGGAAGATTAATTTAAGCAGAATTATACATATTCTTACTCACAGCTGCCTTGACTCCATCCTGAAGAATTCAAGAAATTATCATCACCTCTTCCTTTCATTCCTGTGTGAATTCTTCCAATGATCACTGTCTCTTTGGCCTCTTAGGTTTTTTTTTCACTGTTTAGTCTTGGCATCACTTTGAATATATTTCTACTTCTCTTTGCCTTTCCCTAACAGGGTGAAGAACTTGAGACCTAGAATATTACTTGATTATAAGTTTCTCTGTCAAATTCTTCAACAGTGTTTAGAGCTTTGGAATCTGTAGTAAAGGGTTACCATTCTCTGCTTGTGTGCCTTTATATCCTTTAGGGTTCAAGATCCTCCTGCAATAGTTTATTGTTCTACATTCTGCATAGAAGACTGATTTTCTTAACAGCTAGAGCCAGCTGGCACAAGCACAACAATGATGGCAGTGGGTCAGAGAGGCCTAAATTAGACACAAAGGGAGCCAGGGAAGGCTAAACTCTTTAATTTCATCTCACTCTTCTGTGATTGATGTATTCTATAGAGAGTGTCTTTTCTTTTGTATACACTAGGAGTTCCAAGTTGAGGTTTAACAGATGTTGAAGGGAAATGACTCCAGCATGCATTTGTTAGACAGCTGTGTTTTACAACAGAAATTATTGCAACAGGGAATCAGTGTTTCCATGACAGTAAAACTGACATAATATAGAAAAAGCCATAGTTTAGGGTGAGAAGAAGAAATCCAAGGATCGCCTATGGAAATAACTAGATACTGGATAACCTTTGACACTTTATTCTGGGTAGACGGGGAATCAAGAAGGCAAAGAATGGTTTTTGTTTTACAGATCTATTACACTTGTAATAGATTTTTTGTAATATGACCAGTGGATGATATAATAGTGATTATATTATTCACTGGTCATATTACAAAAATATCACTATTAAAATAACAATATTTTAATATTCATTTTTTTAAAAAAGAACCCCAAAATTATTTGAAAAAATATTCTAACATATAAACAACATAGAAGTGATTAAGAAACATAGATATGGCAATACCTGCAAAACTACATCAACTTTCTAATTTTGCTTACTCCTCTTATGTGCCAAAACATAACTCTTTGTTAAGAAGACCCATAGCACTGGCAGCCCAAAAGTAGATACTGAATCTAACACAGCTGTCATTCCATGACTAAGTTTACTAAACACTAACCCCTATGGTACATTGATTGGTTTCATTTGAATATCCAGTGTGTCATACATTGGCGTATCATTCTCATAGCTTGTCTTATATAAATCCACATTAAAATCAACTTCAATTTTAGCCAGTATAGTTTACTCTTCTTCTGTAGCAGTATTTATCCATTATCCACCTATGATGTTAGATATTCTTACAATTAATTTTCAGTCCATTTTATGGACTGAGTCCAATTTATGGAGTCCAGATCTCCATAAAAGTATGTGCTGCTACAATATTTTCTTCCATTTTTGTATTAACGTGTCTAATCTAAGTGTTCTTCCTTAGATTAGTAAATGATCTTTAGTTTCTTCTGGTTCCCTCTAGTGCCCAAAATTCAAAGTATCTTCTTATTCTGTTATCTTTTCAGCAAACCAAACCAATAACAATTTCCCACTCACAAATTCTCAATTCAAAACCTTAGTCCATTTTTATCTTTTTGCAATCATCACTTTGAGTCTCCTTTTGCTGTTTTATTTTTGTTTTTTTAAAAACATATCTTTCAAAATCCTTGCAAAGGAGAAGGAACATCACCCAGTGAATGCAATACAATGTTGTCATTCTGAGGGTATGTTGTAATATGTTATAAACCATAAAAAAATCCCAAAGGTGATTAAGTATGGTGGGATATGCACCTGGAGAAGGGAAAGAGGAATCTTGGCAGCACTGCATTTTCTCAAGGAAGAGGGAGTACATTCCAGCGAGAAACCCAGATTGAACTGGATGGAGAAGGAGGTTCAGAGTAGCACATCTAGCATCTCTCAAAATGTATCTATTAGATTAGAAGTTTTACAGCTTTGTTCTTTGAAAATTCTGTGTAAGGGGTAAAAGGGATGTGGTGGCTCAGTGGCTAAGACGCTGAGCTTCTCGATCAAAAAGTTGGCAGTTCAGCAGTTCGAATCCCTAGTGCTGCATAATGGGGTGAGCTCCCGTTACTTGTCCCAGCTTCTGCCAACCTAGCAGTTCGAAAGCACATAAAAATGCAAGTAGAAAAATAGGGACCACCTTTGGTGGGAAGGTAACAGCATTCTGTGTACCTTTGGCATTTAGTCATGCTGGCCACATGACCACGGAGACATTTTCAGACAGCGCTGACTCTTCAGCTTTGAAACGGAGATGAGCACCACCCCCTAGAGTCGGGAATGACTAGCACATATGTACGAGGGGAACCTTTACCTTTTAAGCAAGCAAAGAATTGGACTCAATTGAATTGGGCCTGACACTAAGAGATGAGGCAAAGTTAAGCTTTTTTGCATAAAAAAGGCAGTGTTATGAATGTCAGCCAAGAAAGTCAGCCATTCCTGACTCCCAACTGCTGAATTCAAAAGTTAATTACAAAAACTTGTGATTCTGCAAACTTTGCTTGAAGAGTCGCTCTACAGAGAAACATGGGTTATCTTTCACTTTCACTTTGTTCTGGAGAGACTTCTGGCTCCTGTATCCACTCATGATCTCTGCTGTAGACACCTTCCATTCAAATAGGGACATCTAGCTCACCATGAATCCTCACTGGAACACAATTAAGAGAATATTTTCAAAGAGAAAGCCTGCTGCAACATGTAAAAATCTGTTGATTTGAAAGCCTAAAAAAAAAAGAGAGAGAGAGTATATAATGTTTGTCATTACAGTAAAAAAGTAAACAATTTCATAGTATATGGATACAGATGGCAGGAGATACATAGTGTGATCTTAAATACAAAAATAAAGATTGTATCATTTCTGGAGAGGTGCGACAATTTAGTATCTGTATTATGACTTGCACATTTTCTTCCCAAATTTTGTTGAAAAATACAAGTTACCTTTCATGAGCTTGAAAAATGCTGAGATTTAAGCAAATAAAATTCATTTCAAATGTTGATTTGTGAACTTGAATTCATATTTAAATATGATTTAAATTCAGAATCATTGTTACTTTATGTGACTATTAGATGCTACCAAAAAGTATCAATATTCACTGAGCTACCACAAATCTGCAAGTGACCCATGATATTTCCATTTGGAATCCATTAGCTATTTCCCTTATCACACTTGCTCTTGTTTCCTGTTCTTTTTGTCTCCAAAAATACGACCAGCAGAACTTGCAACAAATATAAAGATTTTTTAGATGGGCAGTTTTTAAATGAGGGTTTTGACCATGTCCTTAGGAAGTAAGACAGCCTGTGGCAATGGAATTAGTAACTGTGTTCAGCTCAGAGGAATTGGGTTTATAGAAAGCAGCATAAACTAAAAAGCACAATTTCTTTCTTTCTGCAGATTTACATTTTATTTGTCTCCCAAGATACAACTATGATCCAATTCCATTATTACTCCCTGCTCAAAACCTCAGGCCATCAATATTTGATATTCTGGATAGCTAACAGAATCCTAATGCCTCCAAAAAAATCTGGGCTGATGACTCTTAGGAGATTACCTTTCCCCAATTTCCTGAGCCCATGCATTATAGATAATACATAGGTAGGTGCAAAACCAACTGCTGAACTGTTCTGGGTATGGACTGTCACTTTTCCAGTAATTAATCCTCCAAGCTAAAGCAGTTTGTAGTGTTCCAGATAGGGACATGTCTAGAAGAGAATGACATTTTTCAGGGTTGTCAGAAATATGGGTTTCATATCCCTACTAATAGGGATGTGGTGGCTCAGTGGCTAAGACTCTGACAGGGCTGGCTCTTCAGCTTTGAAACGGAGATGAGCACCGCCCCTTAGAATCGGGAACGACTAGCACATATGTGCGAGGGGAACCTTTACCTTTTTATCCCTATTAATGCACTGGTGAGAGATCCTTATTCTGCTGCTGTTGCTGTTATGTACCACTAATGAAAACTCCAGTTTGTTAATGGGCACAGTATTGGTCCTGAAAGGACACTGAACGTGATGCGTCCATTATAAGCCTTTTTGCTCGATGGAGGCTAGCACATTTTTTAAAAATTGGATCACAGGAATAATAGAGAGAGAGAAGCTACAATTTCTATAGCACATTCAAATAAAAATGGGTTAACTAGCTGTGAAAGAGATAAGTCCAAATGTGATAGGGAACAGGGGGCATGATAGCTCAAAGTTAAAGATGCTAAACTTTTCAGCTGGAAAGCTGACAACCCAAGTTTGAAACATGAGCGCTGCATGATGGAGTGAGTCCTTTTTACTTATTCCAGCTCCTGCACTTAGCAGTTTGAAAGCAGGCAAATGCAAATAGATAGATAGGTAACTCTTCAGTGGGAAGGTAACAGCATTCCATGCACCTTGGCCAGGGGTGAAATCTCGCATGTTCTGACAGGTTCTGGAGAACCGGTACTGAAAATTTTGAATAGTTCGAAGAACTGGTAGCAGAAATTTTGAGTAGTGTGAAGAACCGGCAAATACCACTTCTGACTGGTTCTAGAGTGGGGTGGGAATGGAGATTTTGCAATGTCCTTCCCCTGGAGTGGGGTGGAAATGGAGATTTTGCAATGTCCTTCCCCTGGAGTGGGGTGGAAATGGAGATTTTGCAGTATCCTTCTCCTGCCCACCAAGCCATGCCCACCAAGCCACACCACACCCACGAAGCCACACCCACAGAACCAGTAGTAAAAAAAATTGAATTTCAGCACTGACCTTGGCATATATGTATATAGGTGTAATTTTTAAATAGTTGAAATATCTTACAATAATCACTTCTATTTTTTAAAAAAAATACTTTCATTTACCAAACTATATTATAAGATTAGAAGAAAGCTTCCTATAACTTTGTCCTTTTAAGTTCAAACTTTTTCTAGTTATATCTGCATTCATAGATTATAGGCAGTGTAAGATATATAGCTCAACAGGCTTGAAATATAAAGACAATGAAAAATAGCAGGAGACTTGCATGGTGACATTTGAAAAGAAATAGTCCTCTCTGAGGAAAAGTGACTTTTATTATAGTTTGGAGGGAATTGTACATTCTGAGCAAAGTATAAGTATTTTGGTCATTTCACCCAAACTTATATTCAGGTGAATAAATAAGCTAAGAAAAAATTGCTATATAAGCACCTATGGGTAACTGAACTCAATTATGGGCTAAAAGGTTTATCATTTACTAGTACCTTGGGAAAAGAATCCAATATTTTGCAGCAGAAGTACTGTTAACATTTATAAGGTTGTGGTTACGGTCAACTAATGGATTCCTTTCCCAGAAATCACTCTGTACATTCAGGATGAACACCATGTGTACAAATAAATTTTGCTACTTTGCAGTTTGTCTCACTCCCTAACTGCAAAATTGGCAGAAAAATGATGAAAGGAAATGACAGATTAGATAGTGATTGGACAGATTATATTGATGAAATTCTACTAGTGACCTGCTTGCCTGAAAGTAAGTTTTCTTTTATGTACCAACTAGTCAGACAACATGGACAATATTATCATTGATTACCCTCACTATCTCTTGTAGCCATGTATACTCTAACCCAGGGGTGGGCAAATGTGGCTCTTTTACAACCTGTGGACTTCAACTCCCAGAATTTCTGAGACAGCCAAGCTGTCTGTTTCTGAGACAGCCAAGCCCACAGGTTGTAAAAGAGCCACATTTGCCCACCCCTGCTCTAACCAACTATGCATGTCCTGGTATTGGCTTTCAAGTCTTGTACAGGTTTTCCTGGTTTGTTCCTTCTAGGCTCCCTCAAGGACTTCATGATCATAAAAGACCATGAAAGACAAAAAAAAAGTAAACAAGATGATGATATCTTATATATACACATAAACATACATCACCACCTTTTTATGTATGTATGTATGTATGTATGTATGTATGTATGTATGTATGTTTTACATAATTGTGTCTGGAAAAATACATGAAAAAGAAACATTATTTCTCACATATCCTCTCAAAATAAATTCATTAGGGCCAGGGGTGAAATCCAGCAGGTTCTGACAGGTTCTGGAGAACCAGTAGTGGAAATTTTGAGTAGTTTGGAGAACCGGCAAATACCACCTCTGGCTGGCCCCAGAGTGGGGTGGGAATGGAGATTTTGCAATATCCTTCCCTCAGAAGTGGGGAGGGAATGAGGATTTTGCAATTTTCTTCCCCTGGAGTGGGGTGGGAATGGGGGTTTTGCAGTATCCTTCCCCTGCCATGCCCACCAAGCCACGCCCACAGAACTGTTAGTAAAAAAAAAAATTGAATTTCACCACTGCCAGGTCCCTTAATAATGATCAGTTGGTATGGAATTGTATTATATTCTTGACAATATTCAGTGATAGATCTCAGCACATTTAAGATTTATCTGTTTGAAATCTGACTGTATCTGATTACCTGAGGATTGTAAATATCAAATAATCAAAAAATAACCAAAAAGCCCATTAGACACAAATTTAAAGCATGCACTAAATTCAACTTCAAGAGCAAAATTCAAATTAAAAATGTTGAAGTTTCCCAAAATAATTCAATAATTTAGGGTAAGGAGAATTAGTTCAAATAAATCAATCAATTAGTTCCTAAATTAATTTCACAAGAAAGTCCTATTACTTTGAGTGAGTCCTAGTTATTTCTAATATAGCAGTACAGCCAAGCAAGGAGAAAGAAAACCAGATTTGTCATATACAAAAGTAGGAGAGAAATTTTGCTTCATTTGTTTTCCCTTCTGAGGACATTTCTTTCCCCTCCTCCTCATTCTGAATTTCATTCTGAGTCTGGCATAGATTTATGGCCAGTTTGTAGTATCCTAGGGAACGCTTTTCTTGTGACATGCCCACAGAATATAGTTTTTCCTCTACTGAGTCTGGAGCTCAAATCTTGGTGATACAGACCCCCAAGAGGCTTTTCAGCAATTGGAAAGGGATTTCTAAAGCCAGATTTCTTTCTCTGCCTTGGAAAAGAAAATCAAAAACATCCATCCTAGGATGCCAAAACCTTAAACTGAACAATTATTAAAGTCAAATATAAAGCAATTCAGTTTTCCAAAAGAAATACAAGAATTATCAAAAAAGATTTAAAATTTGTTTTATATTTTCAGACTTAAATTATTGGAAATACAGAAATAAATCAATGGAATGTGCACATTTCTCTCTCAACAGGTAAAGAGAACAGTAAGCTTAAATGTATAAGTTAAATCATCAGTGAGGAACTACATCTATGAGATCAAATGATTACAACACAGCTTTGTTCACTGTGAGCAGTTCTGAAAATTCATTGCTTATTAGTTCTAAAATTCTATAAGATAAATGTGCAGCTAAAGCATTTTGACAATGAAGATATTTGATGTTTCTTTCTTGAGTGCATTTCTGTTGAATCACTATATTCAAATTCATGGCCCTAATCAGTGGTGAAATCCAATTTTTTTTACTACCGGTTCTATGGGCGTAGCTTGGTGGGTGTGGTGTGGCTTGGTGGGTATGGCAGGGGAAGGATACTGCAAAATCCCCATTCCCTCCCCATTCCTGGGGAAAGGATATTGCAAAATCTCTATTCCCACCCCACTCTGGGGCCAGACAGAGGTGGTATTTGCCGGTTCTCCGAACTACTCAAAATGTCCACTGTCGGTTTTCCAAACTGCTCAAAATTTCCACTACCAGTTCTGTCAGAACCTGCTGGATTTCACCCCTGGATCCTGCACAATATTTTTTTTTAATTT